ATATTATAATTATACATATTATATTATAATTATACATATTATATTATAATTATACATATTATATTATAATTATACATATTATAATTATACATATTTTATTATAATTATGCACATTATATTATAGTTATACATATTTTATTATATTATAATTATACATATTATATTATAATTATACGTATTATATTATATTATAATTATACATATTTTATTATAATTATATGTATAATTATAATATATATAAAATTATATATTTACTAATATATATTATATAATTTATATTTTATAATATATGTATGCATTTTTTAATTTTTCAAACACATCCTTCGAAATTCTTTTTATTATAGACAGAAAAATAAAATGGACTGATCCAAACTCAGACGGGAAGAGTGGAGAAGGCCTTGCATCTGGGACATGTCCAAGCGCCCGTCGAGGTGTGGCTGCCGCCCGGCCCCGTNCTTGCATCTGGGACACGTCCAAGCGCCCGTCGACGTGTGGCTGCCGCCCGGCCCCACGTCTGGGTTCAGATTTCACGGGTATTTTAAGCAGCAGCGAGCCGAGCTCGGGCGCATTTCCTTGGATGGGGTTTTGCTCGAGTTGCTGGGTAAGAGACACTTAGGGTTAGCATTTCAATCGTTGATAATGCGCAGGGCGTAGTCCCGGAGGTTTCCTGGAAAAAAAAAACACACACACACACAAAAAACCGTGGTCAGTAAATGCAGAGAAGCCAAAGAGGAAAACAGAACTGGGGGCCCCCGGCTGTCTCCGGAAACTTCCTCAGCAGGAACCGAAATGGATTTATAGTCAAGTTACCAAATAAAACAGAAACAGGCTCATGGATGCGGAGAACGGACGCACGGCTGTCCGAGGGCCAGGGGTTGGGGGCTGGCTGAGAGACGGTGAAAGGATTCAGAAATTCACCTTATTAGGTATAAAATAGTCACGGGGGAGTAAAGTACTGGCCGGGGAATACGGTCAATGATGTTCGGACACCTGGGTAAGGTGCCAGGTGGGTAGATTTTCGGGATCATCAGTTAATACATTTTATAAAATCTAATTACTGGGGGGCACACCTGAAACTAATATCATATTGTGTGCCTATTGTAAGTGAAAAATTTAAAAATGATTTTTTGAAAAAAAGAAAAAGAACTGACCGTAGCCAGTGTGGCTCAGTTGTTAGAGCGTCAGCCCGAGGACGGAAGGGTCTCGGGTTCGATTCCCGGTCAAGGGCAGGTACCTCGGGTGCAGGGTCGAGTGCAGGAGGCAACCCATCGATGTTTCTCTCTCTCCCTGTCTCTGAGAAGCAACAGAAAAAAATATATATCCGGGTGAAAATTAAAAATAAATAAAATAAGCCGGACTGAAATGGATTTATGGTAAAGTTATGAAAACAAAATAGAAACAGAGTCCTAGATACAAAGCCCAGACGGGGAGCTGTCAGGGGGCAGGAGCGTTGGGGGGCTGGGTTAAAAGGCTGAAAGGGTTAAACCAAGATGATCTACGTGCGATTCCACGGAATCACGTATCAGCTGTAAGCTCAAAAAAAACTATTTAAATCTTTTTTTTCTTGATTTCCGAGAGAGACACGAACATCAGTGATGATGGGAGAGTCATGGGTGGGCCGCCTCCTGCACGCCCCCGACTGGGGATCGAACCCACAACCCGGGCTTGTGCCCTGACCGGGAATCGAACTGGGACCTCCTGGATCCTAGGTCGACCCTCAACCACCGAGCCACGCCGGCCCGGCAGGAATAAACTCTTAGAAATAACCCCGTTGCTCTGTTTC